TTGGAGGGTTCAGATTGTTTTTCATCTCCATAAAGTGATAATTAACATTTAACAGTGATGAACACTAGTCCTTATCGTTCATTCCTGATCATTCTTCCTATCAAACTTGTTGCCAACTGCTTTGCTTCTCTACCTTTACATAAATTTCAAAAGTTAAAGAGAGTTTATTCTTCTTTTCATGTATTTTGCTGTCTTTATTAGGGTGTGAGTGTAGGGACATCACTTTACTAGGTTCAATTCATGAAGACCTGTAATTAATGCACCTAAAATTGACAATTAAATAAGGAATTATATGGAATCTTAGATTATTATATAATAAAAATTAATTTTGAATTACATAAATTACAAATTTTATGATCACAAATTGAATCACAACCACCCAAAAGTTAAATCTAATGGCCTGCATAATAAATAAAATGAGACATTTGAGGTGCAAAATATTAATCCTTTGATAATATTTTTCCTTTTATTAGTGATGTCATGGGGCAAACACGTAGACAGTTCTCAGTGGTATTGGAATTGAGTAGAGTTACATATTTTTTCCCACTAAGGTATAAGACAACATTCTTGGGCCCCTTTTTGTTTTTTGTTTTTTTTAGGTTGTTTAATCTTTTTAACAATAATATTATACATATATCATTTTTGTACAATATTATATAATAAAATATGATTGATTAATAAAAATTTAACTTTTTTAAGGTTGAATAAAAATTCAATTCAACCTTTATTTCATTCCTTTTTAAGGTTGAACAAAAATTCAACCGAAAAGGGATGGTGGTATCTTTCCATAAAAATAAGCTAGGAAATTTTCTTGATAAACCTGCTAGTTTGTGGGAATTTTGTGTTATTAGTAGACCCACAATGATTCTCCTTTCACACATTCATAACTTCTTTACAATGGCATAAGAGTAATTCTATCTTTACACTATTTTTATCACATGCCACGACTAAACAAATTTTTATTTTTAATATTATAATAAAATGGTCCTGCGTAAGAGAATAGTGTAAAAAACTTTACACATGACATAAATGGCTTAGATTTGTCGGGTCCACTTCAGTTTATCAATTATCACCAGGTTCACGTACCCATGTGGAGTTTAGTTAAATTGTGAGTGGGAGAAGTGAGAGTTAGTGGGATTTTATGTTGTAGACAGATCCATGAAAGGACACATTTTTTCCTCGCCTTCACTCTATAAATACACATCTTAAGACGCACTCCCTAACTTCCGTATTACTATAACTTATTGACACTATAAAATCCACGTCCTAGCACCTGAAGCCTGATACCATCAATACATCTTCATACGCACTCGCTAACTTCCACATTACTATCTCTCTCTTTGAGGTTCTTAGCATTATAATGTAAGAGCTAATTTTCTGGAAAAGATTGCCTCAGACAGCTATTGACTGTAGGTTATGCATTCCAACCAAAGCACTTCAAATGTTTCCTCCTTTTGCAGACCGCAGAGACGTCCAAACTTTGATTGTTCAGGATATGGAGGAGGAAGGGATTTTCTGGAATCTGGCCTTTTACATCCAACCGGAGGGGCATCCAAAACCTGTTGTTGCAGGACAATGGATTGATTTTGTAAAGAGGAAGCAGCTTCGAGCAGCGGATGGAATTATGTTCTACCGGATTATTGATGCTAATGGGGAAGTCACCTATCAGATGAGACCCTTTCGCAACTTTATGGAGGACTAAGCTTTATGTTACATTTCGTAAGCTTGCATTTTCCTAGTAGAAGTTGGCTTTGTATTTATTTATATTTTGTTGTAAGCACGGTCTTGTGCAAGTTTGAGTTTGAAAGTTGCAATAACGGCACTGTTTGACAGTTGCAATAACGGCACTGTTCTTATACAATAAAATGCTCTCTGAATTTGTTGTTTTTATTAACATTTTTATTAGCATTTTTATCCTAAAATCTCTTTGATCGCAAGTTATCATATACTGTATATTAATATATACCTTGTGTGAGTGAATCGGGTAGTTTACACTTTTAGTCTGAGAGCCCTGTACAGCTTTGCTTGTGAGGTTTTCGCTTGTTAGCCATGCTGTTCTAGTTATCTTGCGTAGACTGGAGGCTGTGTAAATGAAAACAGTAGTTGTGGTGGGGCCACTTTGCTAGCGTATCATACTTTATTTTGCTTTTGAAACTTCTGCAGTTGAACACCTTATTTCTTCTTCCTTTCTTCTTCGGTCTACAGGTGATAAAACTCTTCTCTTCATCCAGATCTCAAACTATATTATCTTTTCATCATTTATGTATTTTTATTTTGTTTTCTTTCTTTTCGTTTTAGGTTTTGAAAAGGATAGTATCACTACAAGAAAACTGATATTTTGCAACCAATTTTTTAGCAACTAACCAGAATTAGTTGCAAAAAGGTTACATTTACCAACTAAATTGACATTAATTGAGCAAAGATGATTAAAATTTTGGAGCCCACATATTCCAACATTTGGCATCTAAAGTTAATTTTTTGCGACTATTTTATTAGTCACAGAACCGGTTGCTTTAGTGACTAATAAATTTAGTTGCAATTTTTTTCGGGTGATTTTTCCCTCCAAAATTTGATACTTTGCATCTAAAATATGGCTTTTGCATCTAAATTTTTGGTAACAAAAAACAATTTTTTGCAACTACTAATTTAGTTGTTAAATTAGTTGCGAATAATTAGAAATTTATTAGTAACTATTATGATTAGTAGTAGAAAAATGAAATTACCAAAATATCTCATATTTGGACAGTAATTACAAAGGCCCCAAAGTATATACAGTAACTAAATTTGATTTAGTTGCTAATTTAACTTAAAAAATTCATATTCCCTCCAAAATTATTTGTTCCCGCCAGACCTCAATTATGGGCAACTAACATTAATTCTTTACTGACTAAAATTTTAGTTGCAAATTGACTTATTTCCATAATATAATTATATTTCAAAATTAAATAATTAATTAGAACCCTTACTTTTTTAAGTTATTTACAGAATACCCTATCCTATATAAAGCAAGCATTTTTTACAATTTCATCTCTTCTCCACGCATGTTTGCCCTAGCTTTTTCCCCAAATTTCCCAAACGCACAACCCAAATTTCATCTCTTCTCCACACATGTTTGCCCTCGCTGTTGCCCGAATTCGAAATGCAGAACCTGACTTATCTTTTCCCCACGCATCTTCATCTCTTCGATCTGACGCGCCTTCATTAATCGCTGTTGCCGAATTTCTGAACTGCAGAACCTGACTTCATCTCTTCTCCACGCATCTTCATCGTTCAATTGATCTCCTTGGTTTCCTTCATTCATCGAATATGAGGCAGTCCCTAACCTCCCGTAAGTACAATTTTTGATTTTTAGTTCTCTTACATGGTAACATTGAATCTGATTTCAATTATGTTTGAGTGAGACCTTTAATCTTGTAATGCTATTTACATTACCCAAAAAGAAACTCTCTACACCTCTCCATATGCCTTCTTAGCACCCCTTAACGTTAACAGAATGAAAGAAGAGAGGCAGATGATGAAGAAAAAGCTCTCAAAGTGTAGAAACTGACTTTTCGGTGAAAGAAGAAAAAAAAGAAGGCTCAAGAATAAGGCGGATGACTCTAAAGGTCTAAGAAGAAGGATAGCAAGAAGTGAAAGGTTATGGAAGAAGATGACGAAGAGAGAGTGAAACGAGCTCGGAATTAGGTGAGCCTGTGATTTGAAATCGGATATATTAAGAAGAAGCAAAAGAAAGCGAAAGTAGATGTTGAGGTGGAAGAGGAGGAGAAGAGTGAGAATCCGAATGCTATTTTCGGTTCGAATATCGGAACCATTGAGATAGAAACTCAAGTCTAAGGGTATTGAGTCTCTGTTTCCAATTCAGGCCACCACTTTTGATAGGTTCTTGATGGCTCCAACTTAGTTGACATGCACGCACTGGTTAGGTAAATATTCTCTTTTAATTGATTTTTTTTTTTTTTAACTTTTGATGTCTTAGTTTGGGAAAAGACTACAAGAAGGAAGAAATGGAAATAATGATGTGTGCGGCACGCCTCTGCCTTGCATTCATCTTCTAGAAGGCCAACAATGAAGACGGTAAATTCTTTTTCATAGTCTGAAAAAAAATTTTGCCATCAAATTTCATTTACCTAAAAAATCCATATTTACCAAGTGAAGTAATAGAGAATCCTCAAGTTTGACCTCTTACGATGTGTGTTGGATCAACGTTTTAGATTATCGGAATTGACTTAAGTAAATGCTCTAGAATTTGCAGGATCTGAAGCAAAAGCTGAAGTACTTGCTGCTAATCACAATTGGTCTGAATCAGAGGCAAAATATTGATAGAATGGTTAAAAAGGTGTATATGAATGGACCATTCATTCTTTTTTTCTACCTTAACTGATTTTTTACTTCAGAGATACTAAGGTTTTTGTTACATAAATTTTGATAGTTTTCTGGGGATTCCAACTTTTGGTTTTCCACTATGATGGTCGGACAAGTGAATGGGATGAATTTGAGTGGTCAAAGAGCACAATCCATGTTAGTACAAGGAGACAAACAAAATGGTGAGATTTAAGATCTTCTGCATAGTACTGAATTCCAACCTTTTAGCTCCTTTAATTTGAGAGCTACCAAAGTATAGAATAAGCATCTCATTGTTTTTATATGTTTTGTTTTCATGATCATCCATCTTGAATGCTTGGATTTATTGTCAGGGTTTTGATGCGAGAAATCTTCAATTTAAGCTTTCATTTCACGTATGATTGGCAGGTGGTAGCAAAAAGGTTTTTGCATCCTGATGTTGTTGCAGCTTAGAGTATATTTTTATTTGGGATGAAGATTCTGGCGTGGAACATCAACGGGGAGAAGTAAGTTCATTTTCCAGTTATGATTTCTGGTCAAGTTAACAGTCACAACTTTCTTTCTAAATTGCTCCATATGAATAACCATGTATATTGAGTTGGTTAAAAAACATGGCTAGAGATCTCTCAAACCAGGTCTGGAGCCAATAACGGATTGACATGGCAAATGACAAGTGGAGGGTGATCGAGAGGTTCACAAGTAACTTTATAGCTCACTCTTGCGCTATGTCTCCCTTTTGTATAAAGTAGACATTTATTTGATGAGTATTGCGGATTATTCGTTAATACAGTTTGCTAAGAATGATGCATTTTGAATTTATTTTCAGGTTTACAGAAGAGAAACCTGGCTGTTGCAGTGATCCACATGTGCCTCCATGTGCTGCGTATGTTTTTTCTCTCTCACACGTAGATTTTGTATTATGTTGACATATCTCAATGGTGTAGTTAACATCATTCATAATTATAGTACTTGCATGCTAGTTATGACATGAAAAATCATGCTTCAGTGAAGAAGTGTCAATTGCCTATTGCAATAACGGATATTTATGGTTCCTTATATACGACTTGTAATTGACACATTTTAATTGTGTTGCATAGTTACAATAACATCTTTTAACTCTTTCTTAAAAGAATGGTTATAAGTTCGATTGTGAAAGAGTAATAACAAATTTTGTTGTCCCTAATTTTCCTTTAAGAATTCAATCGCTCATGTCTCTCTAACTATATGACTCGCTTTCCTGGGCCATGGCTTACAGAAAAAGTCTTTAATGATGCATTCTCTCCCTATCCATTGCTGATATTATGCTACGCCGGCTCTCTCTTTCATCCACCAATTGATCCAATAGCAGAAATGATATTGTTTCCCTTATCTCAATCACTGCCTCCAAGAATTCCAATAGTTTTCACCAAGGAAAAACTTACAATGATTTATAGCTCTTTTAAAATTGATTGACCCAATTTGAGATTATTAGCTATTATCAGTTGTCAGAAAAATAAGTTATTACATCCATAAAAAACCGAATTGCTTAGTCTGCAACACTTTGAGTGATTTGGTCCCAGATAAGTGGAATGATGAAAAGAAAGTTGATGTGATTGTTCATAGTTGTAGTGATGAGCATGGCAGTAGAGAGTAGTATTGGTAATTAGTGGCAGTGGGGGTGGTACATTGTCAGCGGTGGTGGTAAGCGAATGATGGTGGTGTTTTAATGAGATGGGCCATCTCAAATTTTCTTTTAAGACAACTTGATTGACTTTTGTTCTATTCATATGAATGTAGACATGTTAGAGAGTAAGAACTTGTTTGCTGTGAGTTGTGGTTGGTTGTCTATGTTAAAAACAAAATTTTGCATATAAATTATTCTAAAAAGCGTTTTTCTGTATCATAGATTCATTGGAGGCAGGAAATATTAAGGTTTCGCGTAATAAAATTATTTTCTAAAATAAAACTTCTTTGTAATTGGGATTTGTTTGTTAGCATTTTAAATCATGATGCAAAATCTACAATAGAACTTCTTTGTGATTGAGGGGTTATTGTTAGCATTTTAAATCATTGATGCAAAAGTGGGATGTTCCATATAGATGTTTCAAATAATTAGTTATATCTACAGCAATACTTCTGTTTGTAATAAATTAATTTGGTCAAGAGGGTCCCACACTGTAATGTAAATGGCTAACTTTTTGCTCTCTCGAGTTTGAAAGACTGGTGTATTACTATATGCACTTTTGAGCTTATTATAAAGGAGAAAGGAAAAAGTTACGGAATGGAGGAGGAGGTTATCTGGTTTTATATTGCATCACAAAATTATAAGCCTTTTGATAGCTTCAAGATTTTTTTGGATCTGTTTGTGCTCTTTGTAACTGTGTGTTCTGCAATCAATTATGCACAAGCTGAGTCTATAATATATATTCTGGCTGTTATATTTGCCTTTGATTTACTGTTCTAAAATGATGGACAAGCCCGGGAGACAGGCAATTGTGTAATGTGATAGATGCTCAATGAATTTGTGTAGATTACAAATTACAAATATGAGATTCTATCTTGGGTTATTAGGCATTCTACTAATCATTAATACATCCCCAATCATTTTCTCCAAGATATTCCCTTCATTATTTTAACTCTTTCTTGTTTTTCTTAACTTTTTTTTTTTCTCACTTTCTTTAACCAAGCACTCTGCAAATTAGGAATTAACTAGAGAAATCAATAAAGATTTCCATGAATCTTCAAGCCTCAAACCTATGTTGATTAAATTGTGTGCATATATAATCCATAACAGTTAGGAGGTATTATGGGTTCTACTTAAGGTCTAACGTTTAACTCTATGGATGTAAATAAATCATCACCATCTCAGGAAACATAAGTAATTGATCACTTAAGGTCTAACGTTTAACTCCTACCTAGGGACCCGGTTGAGATCCCTTGGGGCAATTATGGGGCTGAGTATATTGTTGAATCTTCTGGGGTCTTCACAACAACTAACAAGGCCTCAGTCACAAAAGGTTAGTTCTGAGTTTTTGACACTATTTTTTTTAGTTCATTGCTATCTTTTTACCTCTCAACATTTATGTAGAATTTATGATATTGGTTAACTAAAATTACACTGCAAACACTGGTAAAGTTATGATATGGTAAACTTATGTAGAAATTTAACTTAGGTAGGGAATTTGAAGGGATTGAATTTAATGAGGTGACATAGGAAGAGTTGAAACCGAAGGACAGCATGCTGAACAATGGTGAATAGTAAAGATGAGTATGCAATGTATCAGAAGAACAATCAAAAGTATAGAAATGGGACCAAAATCAGACCTTGAATTAAAACCAAGATTATTGGCATAGGTGAGATGACTATTTTTCCATCAGATTTCAAACATTTATAGCCTTTATGAATAAGGTGTATTCTACAAAAACACATTTGGCTGAATGAAAGAAGAAATTTAACTTAGTTTAAAATTTTAAACTAGGGAATTCAAGTTTAGATTGTTAATCTGTGAGATATTTGCTTTTCTACTCCATCAATTTGATTTTGGTTTGGTGCTGCCGTACGTTCTGTGAACTTTGAGGAGTAGTCTTTTTCTATTGCCATTCATAAGTTTTTGTCACATTAGTATACCCTAGAATAATTATAATTTATTTGTAATAATTTAGTTTCTTGCTTGACTATTGATTATGCATTGAATTGATGGTAGGAAAAAATGATACATTCGTGCAATAATGCTTGAAGGAGCAGCCATCTTACTTGAAGGAGCAGAAGCAGAGTTAAGGGATAGTCCATAAGAAGAAAATAAGATAAACATTTGTATGGACTATATATATATGAAAATATGTATTTGATGTTAGTGTTCAGATTTTTATATTGTGATGGATTATTTTGTTGATGTTAAATGTATAAACTAAGGCAATACAAAAGCTTTTGCCACTAATTTTTTCCAAAAAAAAAAAACACATTCTGCAACTAATTTGTGAGTAGCAAACAGGAATTTAATAATTGGATTCCACATTCAGCGTTACAATGAATATATTAGATACTAAATTTGGTCACCAAAAGATACATTCGGCCACTAATAAAATAGTCGCGAAAAACCTATTAGATTTCACATTCAACATCTAAAATATTATAATTAATTACTAAATTTAGTAACTTAAAGATACATTTGGTCACTAATAAAATAGTCGCGAAAACCGTTTGGATTCTACATTCAGCGTCTAAAAGAGTTACAATTAGCCACTAAATTTTGGTCACTAATAGATACATTCGTCGACTAACAAAATAGTTGCGAAAGCCTTTTACGAAATTACCCTTACACCTTTGGTGTCTAATTTGTGTGGGATTCGCGACAAATTATTAGACACTAAAACTGACATTTTGCAACTAATTGATTAGTCGCTATACAATTTTACCAAATTACTCTTGAACTTTTAGCGTCTAAGTTGAGGGACTAATTTGACCAGCATTTACCGACTATTTTGCTAGTCGCAAAAAAAAAACTTTTTGCGTCTAAACCACAATATAGACGTGCTATAAATCTGGGACCAGCCTACTGCAACTAAGGGGGCGACAACCAAATTTAGACGTTAAAAATGGATTAGCGTCTAAATTTGACTTTCTGCGTCTAATTTTGCTAGACGCAGAATGTCAGTTTTCTTGTAGTGTATCTTTATTTATTTTTGTGGAACAAAATCATGATATTTTTTTCTCTAAATTTTGTATGACAAAACGGGGGTCATATTTTTTTACATAATTTGTTTGATTTTCTCAAAATCGGTTGAATTCTTTCTATTTTATATGGAAATCTATTTCTTTCGGCTTTTTAAAAGCCAGATCTAGTTTGATTTCGATTTTTTCTTGAATTTCTTACGAGTTTGATTTTTCTCAAGATCTTTTGAACTATTTCTTTTATATAGTGATCTATATTTTTTTGGATTTCTTTTTCGGGTTAAATTCAGATTTTTTGTTGAATTTCTGAGATATATATATTCTTTTGGATTTCTTTTTTGGGTTAAATTCAGGTTTTTTGTTGAATTTCTGATATATATATATGTAAAGGAAAAAAGAGATGCCGGTATATGGTGGGAGCAAACAAAGTGATTTTGATATATATACCGGCATCCCTTTTTTCCTTTACATTTAGGGTAAGATTTTCCTGCGTTTTCGCACCCCAGGTGGAGTCACTGGCCACATTAATCAATTAGAGTTCTTAATTTTATTATTTTTTGTATAGTAAAATAAGCATGCGTTATCATTTTCTTTTTATTTTGGGGAATGGGTTTTGCTTCATACCCAAATTTAGTGTTTATTTATTGTTAAAGGCGCATAGATTTCATCAGTTCCCTTCATTGATTTATATTTTACTTATTGTTTAACCAGTTGGAGAACGAAATTCTAATTTCTTGATTTATTATATGTGTGTTCATCTAATCTTCAATACTGCTAATTAAACTTAATTACATTTTCTTTAACTAGGGATGCAAGCATCAAGAAGTGAAGCACAAATAAGGCTTGCATTTTATTATTTAAGAGCTCAATTTTCTTACAGGAAAGTGACGTTGTTACACGCCTTGAAGTTGGTACTATATTTCCTGGTTCTAACACTGAAGATACTGAACTCTGTCCTCGATGGAAATGATAACTTGAAAACTCATGGTTTTCCCCATGTTTACTTTAATACTTTGATTGAATTTTGATTAATTGAGTTAGTTACAAAATAACAGAAACTCTATTATTATATACACAATACAAAGAGTTTTTCTGTCCCCTCATTACTTCTAGATATTATAAAACAACCATGCTTAATATAATATGCTTAATAACCCCTCATTACCTCTAGATATTACAAAAACGACCCTGCTTAATAGAATATTCCTAATAACCTTTATAATGGTCTTGTCCTACCTATGACTTGTTAATTAATATCCTAATTGAACATTAGCAAACACTTACAAAATAGTTTCAAAGCAATGAAACAAAATCTGAATTCTGAACAGCTTAATTGGTTCATGGTTAAAAGCCAATGCATTTTCATAATGGGCCTATTGAAGTTCATATTGAGCTCATAACTTATCCAGATGCGCAAAATCCATCCGCACTGAGTCAATGTAATGATACAGTAGTTATCTAAATAGAGAAACATGCACTAGGATACCCGTAACCATTGAAGCTATAAAAGTTCCCAGTATAGCAAATGTTACAATGGCTCCAAAGTCAGAAAAGAATAGTTTCTGCCAAAACAAAATAACATAAACAATGAGGCAATCAACTCAAGGCAAAAACGCAATGCATGCATTTAACTCATAGATTATATTCAGAAACAATGACAAATACTTACAGGTGCCAAGCTGGACTGAAGCCTGAATGAGTACACAAAAAGGGTCAAGAAAAACGAAAAATTGAAGAACCAATTCAGTGTACAAGTAGTATGTAATGTACATACATAAAAAAAAAAAAATAATAAAAAAATTCGTAAGCATTAAATGAAAAAGTAAATGTCAAGAAATGAGTCACAAAAATCCAAGTTTAGTTAGGATATAATATGATCGGAGGCAACAAAAACAGGAAGAAGAATTCCTCGTGAAAACTGAACCATGTCCTACCAAAGTCAAACAAGATATGAAATAAGCACCTAGGCTTTCAGAATCACATCACAAAAACAAAAAAAACAAAAAAATTACCTAATATTAGTTTCGGTATCAGAAATGGAATAAAATTGAAATAAATTAAAAACCTATGAGAAGAGAAGCGCTGGCTTCAGGGAGATAATAAAAGCGATGATGACGGAGGACGTGGCCGAGGACGAAAGAGAGAACAAGCATCATGATCTGAAGGAGTATGGCGACTCCGGCTGCTTGCTACTCTTTACCTGGACTTCCTCGCGGATCGTCGGCCGGAGATATATGCAATGCCTCCATACTCGTGGAACGCAATTCCATTACCTGCATGACCTAATCGACGAGAATTGATTTGTTAATTTTGAAACTTGCTCTCTTTTCTTTTGTCTTTGTTTTCTATCGTCAAATTCTTCTTCTTCAACTTGTTCTGATTCTCTCTGTTTCGCATTTGACTCTTCCGCCGTTTAGTAAATTACAGTTATTTCTAATGCATACCTAAACTGTCCATTATTTATTGTAATCTCCATACTAGTTTTTAAAAATTACACTTTGCTCCTCTTCGGTTTCTAAATCTAGCCAAATGATAACCTTTCCAAATTACAATCAATCCAAAGAAACAAACAAGCTTAATTAGGGCAGTGATGATCGTTAATTACAGAGTTAATGAATTAATTAGTAATTAAGTAACATATTAGAGGAGTTTTGGATGGAAGCTGGATAGCATCCAAAGCTAGATATTAATTTGGAGGAACTGTCCCTTTGGGCTTTGGCCCAATCATGATAATCAGGAAGAACTCCTCCTTTGGGCGTTAGCCCAATCTCTGAAATTGAATCCATTGTGCATAAATAAGTACAAGCTTGTTTAGGAAGCTTAATAAACTACTAAGCATTATAATTAGAAATAGGGACTTGATCTAAAGACCACTAATCAAACAAATTACACAACAGAAATGCAAATTTTCGCTTCACTTTGAAGCATATTTTGTCTAGCAATTGGAGACCATCATCATGCAACACTATTTTTAATAGGCATGTATGTCTACTGATTTTCGTATAAGTATGTACAAATTTGGTTATAAAATTGCCTATGAAAGTCATGAAATTTTAAATATATGAATCTATAAATTTTCCAGAATCAGCCAGCGATTGGTGAGGTCGGTTGGAGCACACTCATCGGCCTATTCCAGGCATGAACGGCACCATTCCACTAAGTCATTCATGCTTCTGCCCAAATTAGGGAAAACTCTTAGACATGGAATGACCCGTTCACGCAAGCCGTTCATCCTCAAGTTGTTCATGACAAGAATGACTCGATTTCTTGTGCCCGTTCCCTATTATGGAAAATCAGAGATTTTTAGGGTAAATCTGGAACACTAATTCCACCTTCAAGAACGACCATTCCTCTAAGCTACTAAGCAAAATACATGTCTTTTATTAACCTTTGACACCAATTTACATTGGATACTCAAAATCCTTCCCCATTACAAGCATACAAGACATAGCTGATACACGAGGGTTAGAACAATAGATTTATATCATGTAGTTAAATTGAATTAAAGTGGAGAATCAAATAAATGAAAATATTGGAACCATATTTCACTATATCAAAGTAAATATTAAACAACAAAAAGAGACGCACCATCAGCTAGGGGTGTTCAAAAGAACCGGTTGGAACCAAAACCGGCGGGTACCCTGCTTTTGGTTCCGGTTCCTACCCAGAACCAGTCGTTAATGGGTAGGTTCCGGTTCCAAATTTTTGGAACTGTTACTGTGCAGTTCCGGTTCTGGTTCTTATAGTTAGGAACTGAAACCAGAACTAGGAACCAAGAACCGAGACTAATATAAAATAAAATTAAAGATTAAGGGGGTTAATAAAAACTTTTGTAGAAAAAGTAATGTGAATACATTTATATTTATATTTCATAACATTTAAACTAAGTTGGTTTGACTTTTGAGAATCTACCTTTACAAAGTAATGGAGTTTGTAATTTTGAATTTATAATTTGTAATTTTATTTTTGTTAACAAGTGCCAAGTTGGGGGGTATTTGTAAGTTTTTAAGGGTTTTTTTGCCATTTTAAAAACTTTTGGGGGGTCATGAATTT